GGGAGGCCTGCCAGCACCGGGGCGCCGTGCATCAGGATAGGGCCACCAGGTCTCCCCGAGGCTCCCGAGTCGCTTCCAGCCCTTGCAGGGTGACTCAGCCCGTCACCTGCGACCCCGCTGGCAAGCGAGCGAGCTGCCGGTTGAATCCGCCCCTCGCGCGGGAGCAGATGCCGCAAGAAGCACGAGAGTTGCACTGTGGGTCCGTGCTGATGACTTGCTTAACGGAAACAGATGTTTTGTTCCTGTGAGGCAACTGCTTCTTGCTCCTGGCTCAGTGTTTTCCCAACCTCACTAAAGCTGCCTGAGGTTGCTTCCCTCACTATTCAAATTCTCTTGGCATTTCTCCCTTGCCAGCTGGCTCCGTACTGGGGTGGTAGCCCAGATTTTCGTGCTGGCCCGTGTCTGTAGAAAACAGGCGAGCTTTGAGAGCGCCCCATTTCCATCTGACCTGCTCCCCTCCCGAGATTAAACGTGCCCCGTCTCCTGGTTTATGTTTTGGCCTTTTCCTTTGGAGTCCTGAGGTATTTTACAGGTGGTGCAGTGGCAGAAACACAGCCTGGCTGAATGCGGCTGTTGGCTACCAACAGCAAGGCTAGGGAGAAGGCACGAATCGAGATGCAGGAGGTGGTTTAGGGGTTGCCTTGGTAACGTTTAAGCTGCCGCTGGTAAATTTTGGATCTCTTAAACTGAAAATACAGTCCTAGACTTGCAGCAGGGTGAGGTGCATTGTGAATGTCTTAGGGATTCTTGCTTTCCTGAAAAATTCTTTAATTTAACTGAATTTTCATTTTACTTTTAGGGTTATTCGGAGTCCCCAGATCTGGAGTTTGAATATGCAGATACCGATAAATGGGCAGCAGAGCTCTCTGGTAAGGGAATTGTCCTGATGGATCGATGAATCAGTCATGATTTCTTTCTTGGTAGCAATTAAAGGAACTCTGTCAATGCCACTATGACTTTGTTGATGTCTTTAAACGCCTCCTTTATGTTAAAAGGGATGTGATGTCATGTAATTAATTCTTTGCCGTATCCTGGGTTTGCGTTTTGCATTTCTCTCATCTTGGTTACAATGGCAGTTAACTTGGCCGGGCTGCTGCTTTCTCTGACAGCTTGGTTGCAGGTTGTTGGAGAAAGAGACCTTTCTTCAGGTTCTTGAAACGGCATCTTTTCTTTGAAAAGGCTAATCTCAAGCTTGACGGACGCTGCAGCTGCATTACTCTGGTGTGAAACACTGCCTAGAAATCGTCTAGCAGTGAAAGCACATAAATCAAAAAAAGAAAAGGTAGAAACGACTGTTTTAGTGTTTAGTAGCAGTTAGCCGTGCCTGGGTAGCCAAGGTTGGCTGCCCAGGCTCTGCCCTGTGGTTTCCCTGCTGTGTCCTGGCTGGTGTCTGCACATAGCTCCCTGAGAGCATGTTGGGAGAAACCTGACTGATTTCTCCGTGCTTCCTTGGCAGAGCTGTATAGCTACACTGAAGGGCCTGAGTTCCAGCTCAATCGCAAGTGCTTTGAGGAAGACTTTAGGATCCATGGTGAGAACCTTCTCTTGTACTTCTCCCCACTTTGGGCAGGAATCTCCTGGAAGAGATGTGCCAGGATAGATGCATTACTACTGCATCAGAAAGCAGGATCCAGGCACTGACGGTCTTCACGTGGTTTGTATTTGAGACTTGGTTGATGTGCGTTGGCTGGGCCCTGGAACGCAGCTTGCTGCATCTGGCTTGTTCAGCAGTCGCTTGTATTAATGTCCTAGATGGTTCATTAATGCTACAGTGGCTGTGCTGGAAAATCCAGGCAGCAGCAAGAGCAGCCAGCTCGTTTTCTATCAGCTGCTGGGTGTCGCTGTTGTCTGAGTGCTGCCAAAGCCAGTTCAGATGGGTGTGATTTATCTAGTTGTGTGATGGAAGGCAGGAGACGTCCCTCTGCCCAGACTGCACATACCTTATTTGCAGCCTCTCATGAGCACCTTGTTCAGTGGGGCAGTCCTACTTTCCCTCGTTGTGCATGCTTTGAGTTTTTCTTGTAATGTTTATGTCCAGTGAAGATAGAGGGGCTGTACGTGCCCTCAGCCTGGCTGCCTTGGCTTTTCAGTGCGGGACAAGAGATGGACTGAGCTGGACAAGAACCAGCATCGCACTCATGCCATGCGACTTCTTGATGGGCTGGAGGTCACCGCACGGGAGAAGAGGCTGAGGGTTGCCCGAGCCATCCTCTACGTTGCCCAAGGTACATCACAGCGTTGGGCGGTGGACTCTGTCCCGTTACTTTCTCCATTGCTGAATCTGGGCAACAGATTGGAAACTGTTAGTTTAAAATACTTGAATTCATCATTTTTTTCCTTGTTTCTTTGATGTCACCTGGGATGATTGGAACTCAGCTAACCTCTCATGGCAGCTTTCTTTCAGGTTAGGAGCTTTTTACAGCACTGGGAGTCAAAAGTTTTATAGGAGCTTGGTCCAAAATTTGGCAGTCTTCCATGTGCTGTCCTGGCTCTGCCAGATCTGGGCTGTGTTACCACAAGGGGGCAGTTCTGTCCTCTGCATCTGATTTCTTATCTTAAAATTGTGGACGTGGTTTTCATTCTCCATGCAAAGTTTGCTGGCTGCATGGGAGGGCCTTGGGATTCCTGCGGAGGTTGGATCCAGCAAGGATATTGTTACAGGCACGTTTGGGGAGTGCGGCTCTGAGGCGGAAGTGCAGGCCTGGATGAGGTATAACATCTTCCTGCTGCTGGAAGTGGGGACGTTCAATGCTTTGGTGGAGCTGCTGAACATGGAGATTGAGTGAGTACCGTGGAAAGGTGCTTTTGAAAGGGCTCTGGAGCTCTTCTCTTGGCATGGGTTTTTCTAGTTTGCTGTAGCTGCTTTGTCCACAGTTCCTTGTTTGTCTATCCCTAATCTAATCCCTGCAGGACTGGAATGACTCCCATTGTTTTGGGTAGCTCTGTAATGTATTACACTCAAATTACACAGAAATTCTCTCTGGCTGTGCTATCTGGCAGCACACACGCACATCTATTCCTCCTCCCTTGACCGTCCTGTTAATTTGAAACTTGTTGCAGCAATATCTGTCCCAGAGGTTGGCTCTGGTGTGTGGGTTGCTCATGGCAGGGTTAAAAGCTCTCGAAAGCCCCCCTGTCTGAGGCTATTTTCCCTCTGCAGTAACAGCGCGGCTTGCAGCAGTGCCGTGAGAAAGCCTGCCATCTCCCTGGCCGACAGCACGGATTTGAGGTATGGAGACAGGGCTTGAGATGAGGAGGCAGTGCTCAGCCTGTGCAGCGGGCAGGTGGCCGATCGGGGAGATGAAAGCAGTGAAGTATGAGGGGGCAGGGGGATATTTTTCTGCTTCAACTTGCAGTTCAGTTGGCAACACTGTGATCATTCTGTTGATCTGTGTTGGTGGTACCTCGTGCACTGTCCCCGCACCAAAGAGGCCTTTTGCCAGTGTCTGAGCCCTGATCCCCTGGGTGGGGTGGGTGAATTGAAACTAGCTGCAATCTTGGCAAATCCAGACCAGTGGGTGCTGGCAGCATCTCTGTAACCCATCTTGACCTCGTATCCTGTGGTAATTGGCCTGGCCTTTTGCTCTTTGCAGAGTGCTGCTGAACATCATGTACCTGATTGTGGAGACGGTCCGGCAGGAGGCTGAGGGAGATAAGGCGGAGTGGAAGACCATGAGACAGACCTTCCGAGCAGAGCTGGGTGAGGACCAGGGTGCCTGGGGGAGATAACGGGATGGAGGTTACCAGGAGGTGAAAAGCAAGAGAGTGAGATGGTAGTTGGATCTGGGCTTCGGTTAATAGGAGCTGGTAGCGTTGGGTTGGTTCCTGCTAGGTGTGGTGTATCTGGGCTGAATCTTGCTGGAGGGAACGAAAGAGGTGAGTGAAGGAAGCCAGCCAGCCAGCCTTTTCTACTTCCTCTCTCCCTGGGGAGGAGCCTTGAATGTTGAGGCTGTTATTTCCTGTAGACACAGGCGTAAGAAATTATGGAGGGTACCAGACCTTGGAAAGATAAGAGCTATCTGGAATGAAGGGAGGGCATCAGAAATGGCAGTCATTCTCCTGTGTCACCCCCTGCCCCCAAAGAAGTGCAGAGGCTGGTAGTGCTGGTGTGCAGGAGGGAAGCTGTGAGGTGCCAATGTGAGGGCAGCCTTGCTATATTGTTGTCATGTGAATCCAGGAGCCCCGCTGTACAACAACGAGCCCTTCTCTGTCATGCTTTTTGGGATGGTGACCAAATTCTGCAGTGGCCATGCTCCACACTTTCCCATGAAGAAGGTGCTGCTCTTGCTCTGGAAGACTGTGCTGGTAAGAGAGAGGCTGTGGAGTGCGCCAACATACATCTTAGAATTTTACCTTTAACAGAGGAAGGAAGTTCTGCCCCCATGCTGGCTGTAGTTGTGCTGTCCTTGCTTTCAGGCACAAATCTGGGTAGTTGTGTGCTGTTAAAGGCCTCACAGGCTTTTCACCCTGTAGGTGAGCACTGGTCTCTAGAGCTAGATTCCAAGGTGCAGCCAAAGCAAAGTCCTGAGCTTGGGTCTGTGTAAAGGAAAAGGTCCGGAAAAGGGCCAGATACCTCTGCTGCAGTTACCCAAGGAGCCTCCTGTCTCTTTGGTCTGTCACAATGACAAGAGCAGTATGGGGGGAGACAGGTCTTATTCTATCCTGTGGAGAAGGATTTGGGACTCTTGGAGTGTGGATTTGGGAAGGACAGGTGGAGAAGCCCTTGATACTGTGTGTCGAGGAGTCTCCCGGGCTCAGGATCCCATGGTCTCCCTTGCAGTGCACCCTGGGAGGCTTTGAGGAACTCCAGAGCATGAAGGCAGAGAAACGGGAGATCCTGGGCCTCCCTCCGCTCCCAGAAGACAGTATTAAAGTGATCCGCAACATGAGAGCTGCGTCTCCACCGGCATCGGCCTCTGACCTGATTGAGCAGCAGCAGAAGCGAGGCCGGCGGGAGCACAAGGTGAGGCTGGAGCACAGGTCTGGGGACAGTGACGTTAATCGGGGGACAACTGGGCCTAGGACGCCAATCTTGGAGCAACTTGTACCCAGGGTATTTACCTGCCAGGTAGTGAGCAGTGGGACAGAAAAACATGCAACTCCCACATGCTTGCTTCTCTCTCTCCCCAGGCTTTGATTAAACAGGATAACCTTGATGCCTTCAATGAGCGGGACCCTTACAAAGCTGATGACTCTCGCGAGGAAGAGGAAGAAAACGATGATGACAACAGCCTGGAAGGAGAGACCTTCCCCCTTGAACGTGATGAAGTGATGCCTCCCCCCACCCAGCATCCCCCCAGTGACCGTATCACCTGCCCCAAGGGGCTGCCCTGGGCCCCCAAGGTCCGGTGAGTCTGTGGGGACCGCATCTTGTCAAGCTGTGGGGAGAGCTGGAGTGCCTGGCTGGGGAAGACAGTGGAGGTTGTATAGTCCATCATTGTGAACTTCAGCAAGGGGTGCAGCGAAGATGTCAAGGCTGGGGAGATCAATCTGATGGTCTCTTTGGTTGCTTTTCTTCTGGTGGGGTGGGCTTGGCACCGGCTCCTTCTCCTGACTGTGATAGATATTATTTCTGATGCCCTGTGCCTGGGGCTCTCTTGTACCCAGCAACAGGGGGAATTTAAGCTGACTGGAAGATGCAGTGTCTTCCTCTTGTGTCCCTTTCCTGCAGAGAGAAAGACATTGAGATGTTTCTGGAGTCCAGCCGCAGCAAGTTCATTGGCTACACTCTGGGCAGGTAGGTTTCTGCATAGCCAGCTTGGGGAGCTGCTGGTTTCAGGGACTGTGGCAGAGCCCGCTAGTGTGCGAGCTGTCGTCACCCTCCCCTTGCCGGCAGAGAAATCCTGAACTCGCCAGCTCCTCTCAGTGGCGGTTTCTGATCTGCTCGTGGAGGTGGCTCTTTCCCTTCTCTCTAGTGACACCAACACCGTGGTGGGGTTGCCCAGGCCCATCCATGAGAGCATCCGAACCCTGAAGCTGGTGAGCGTAGTAATGAGTTTCTCTGATCTGTCTTTGTGCGGGTGCCCCTTCCCCAACCCACTGTGCTGAACACAAGTCAGGGCAAGTGGTTCGTTTTCCTAGCTTCTTTCTGCCCAGCTCAGCCCTGAGAGGTCTCAAGTTTTCATCTCTTGCCTGGTCTCCCAGGCTGTCTAAGCCGCTTTCCTCCCTGGCCTTCTTTACTTTCTTACCTGGAGTTGCCCCAGAGGTGAAGCCAGCATCTACCGCCCTCCTCTACCACCCTGTTCATCGGATCAGGTCACCAATGTTAGATGCCTGATGGACAGGAATGCTGAGGGTTTCTGGAGGGACCTATAAAGAGGATGGGACGGAGCAGGAAACCTTGTCATGCTGGGACAGGTCCAAGATGCACCGTGGGGCAGGTTGGGGTGGGTGGCATTACTGGGGGGCTCTGAGCTCTGTAGCATGTTCCCCCTGCCCTGTCTCCTTGCAGCACAAGTACACATCGATTGCGGAAGTGCAAGTGCACATGGAGGACGAGTACCTGCGCTCTCCGCTCTCAGGGGTGAGTGTGGGGATGAGGATGGGACAAAGCTCCCTGGAGGGGAGCTGGGGGCGCTCGGTCCTGCCAGGCCTTCTGGCCATCGGGAGGGTGGAAGTTTGCTCTGTGGCTCGCTGGGGAAGGAATGATTTCTCCAAGGGTAGAGTGAGGTTGTGCTTGGAGGCATTGAGTAGGAATGAGAAGTATCTTGGCTGTGTGGCATACCTTGGGATCAGAGAGCCTGAGGCTGAGCCAGGTCCACGCAGCTGGTGGCTGCTTTTGGTATGAGGTTATCTTGTCTCTCCTGGCACCAGGGGGAAGAGGGAGAGGAGCAAGT